ATAAATACCGACGTATCCCACTTGTTGACACAAGATATAAATACCGTTATATACATTGTATCTCATTTGCTGACACAAGAAATATTACCGTTATATCCCACTTGCTGATAGAGGCAGTAAATACACTTAAATCCCACTTACTGACATAGGCTGTAAATATCGTTACACCCCACTTCCGGACATAAGCTATAAATACTGTTATATTCCACTTGCTGACAGAGGCAGTAAAATCGTTATCACCCACTTGCTGACAGAGGCATTTAATACCGTTATATCCCACTTGTTGACAGAGGCATAAATGCCGTTAAATCCCATTTGCTGACAGAGACAGTAAAAACCGTTATAACTCACTTGCTGACAGAGGTAGTTTCCCACTCGCCAACAGACGCTAAAGTATCTATGTAATTTTACAAACTGTTATATAAAACTTGCGGACAGAATCTATAATTACATTTACATATGTATAATGAACCTGCCGGTACTGGCTATAGATACAGGTTTATACTTTTCGAACAGTTCTATCCATCTTGCGGAAAGAGGCTATTCATACCGTTGTATTCAAATCGCAAATAGGTTTTTTATACGTTGCCAAAAAGGGCTGTTTTAAGTAATTGTTTGGAAATTAACAGTGTCTTGTATATGTTAATTGCCATTATTATAGGCAATAGTATAGCATTTTTTATAAAAAAAATGTTTACGAACTGTTTGAAATAGATTAAGCTTAGCGACAAACAAGGTACATAAAAAGACAGATAAATGAAGTGAAATGAGAGCCTCATTTAATAACTTTGCCTTTGTTTCCTTTTCCGGTAATGTCGGACGTGTTTTTATATTGCTCTCATGGATTTAAAATGTTTAAAATTTCAAGCACATTTAGCTTCTATGAGTGTAGAATTGTATCATGATTATATCATAATTGGACTGGAGAATTGAAATAGGATTTTGGATATATTTAAGAGGTACTATTCTTGATTTCACAAAAGTTCCGACATTTCAATGAATTAATAGTACATATTGCCTAAATAGTTACATAGAGAGGGGTCAAGCTGGACAATTTTCGATATTGCCTGAGGGCATAACGGCTATTAGTGACCACTGATCAGTAAAGTCAGTATGATGGAGATTAATACTAGCGCGGAATCCGAGCCACTGACAGTAAATGATAATACCGAGGTTAAATTACCGGTAATCTCAAGTGACGTCACAACAACAGATGACAGTATACGTGAAGCGCCTTCTTTAATGAACAACATCTATATTGAGGCAGGCAATAACAGTGATGCATCTCTTTATGAATATAACAGGTTTGTAGATATGTTTTGTGGAATGCCATCAATACCTTTGTGTCTACTTTTCCCAAAGATTACGCCTCTAGTGAGACAGATTTAGAAAACACAAGACTGCGATTATTCGAAGCTCTTAAATCAAATGAAGATTTTCCATTTGAATTTAATTCTGAACTGAAAAGGCGGGTCTATAGAGGGAAAGGAGATCCGATCTCAGTAAAACTTGCCAATGACATTCACACGTTGCTATCAGTCATGGATGGGGAAGATTTTGGACTAATTAAAGAAATGTTGAGTGAGGCTAAAAAGCGCGGATGCTCCCAGTCTTATCCGATTCAACAGTCAAAACCTTCCAATAGCTGTCAGTGTAACATAGAGCTGGAATTGCTGAAAAATACAGTGTCTAACCTACAAGCAGACCTACTGATCATAAAACAAACAAATCATGCTAATGATAAGCTTCGAAAAGAACAAGTAACTTGTATTTTTGACATAGTTCAAGGCATACGACAGGATATAACAAATTGCCAAAAGTCTATTGCTGAGTGTATAGCCACTAGTCTGTCAAATTTTAACCACGTGTCGCTTGACACTTCTCTAAATAGTGGTCTTGACAGTGTTATTAAGAGAAGATTTTGTTGATAGTCCCGGAGTAGTTAAGATTGCCAAATGTAATGTGCATGATAACCATAGTCCAAATCGCGCTCATGAAAATTATAATAAGGTATCTGTTTATATCAATTCAAACGACAACACTGAGATCTCAAGCGAATCGTCAGCAAAAACCACAAATATTGGTGACAATCTTACCGTGCCTGAAGTCTGTGTCTCTCAACTTGAAGTATATCTAAGTCAAAAAGAGAAACAATATATTTCTAATTACCCACAGCAGAAACATCCCACAACACTGAACTTTAGTATACCCTCCCGACAAAATGATTATAGTGCAGAGAAAAATACTAATAATAAATCTTCAAACCAAAATGTGCCTTCATTAAGACCGTCAATCATTAACAATACTAGTACGATCACGGCGGATATAGAGAAGCACATGCAGAGCAAAAGTCAACTGTGTACAAATCGTGTGTCAACGTTTCCTAAAATGACCGCAATATATGTGCGTGTTACATCTCGCAAAGAGCGAGACTTGCGACAATATGATACTTTTGACTGGCACCAAACAAGTCCAACGAAAAGGTATTTTGTTGGTGGATTCAATAAATCGGTGTCAAATAAATACCTGACTAATTTTGTGACAAGCAGGGGCGCAACGGTGACAATTATTGGTAAATTCCAGATGAGGAAATCGAGAAATAAAGTTATTTTCCGTTTAAATGTGGAAGCAAATGAAATCGCGGATTGAGTCTTTGGCCAAATTTGAGTAAAAAGCGTTTAAACGCTTTTCAATTTTGGGTCATTTTTTACCATTATAATAATTTTTCTGGAAAAAACGGAGCGAGCTAATGACTTGAAATTTTGCACATAAGTTTTTAGTAAAGGTCTACATCAAATAGAGTAAAAATCTCAAAAAAATATTTCCAGTTCCGTCATGTCAAAAAACCTCAGTGGAGTCCCTTTAAAACTTATAGCAGTAGCACCAGAGAACAGGTAATTTTTGTATTTTTTATCTTTCTTTAAACAAATTAGACAGTTGTAAAGGAGCTAGGTACTCATATGTTTCTTATGATGATCGTTACTTTTCACTCATTGATCATATATGTATGCCAGTTGAAACTATAGATTATGTAAAATGCTGTGAAATTCTTGATGATGATGCCCTCAACGTTTCCCGCCATAGGCCTATAGTTACATCACTAGAATTTACTACGAACAGCAATTTAAGTGACACAAGGCTGAAAGTTGTAGAAACTGTATCCAAAATAAACTGGAAAGGAGTCAAAGAGAGTGACAAAGATGATTATGTATCTGCTATTAAAGCCAAAAGTGAATTGCTTCGACTGAAACATTGTGAGTTAAATCGGTCAGATGTCGATAATGCATATACGACTGTTATTAAGGCAATAACAGAGTCATCCGCATGTCTCCTGGTATCAAAGTACAAACAATATCTTAAACCGTACTGGAATACTGAACTTGGGAACGCGCACACTCATATGAAAGAAAAACGTAGATTGTGGTGTCGGGAAGTTCGGCCCCGATATGGTTTGTCCGAGTTTTTAGAACTCCATTGATAAAAATTTTATGTCAAATTATGAGGAAAAAAAAGAACAACCGGTCAAGTTTATGTGAACAAGTTAATGTGAACGCCAAGGTAAAGTTCAGTTTGACTTACTTGAAGAAATTAACTCAAAAAATGATATGTCCTATGGTAAGGTGACAATTACGAAAAGAAACTAATCTATTCATAGGGGCTACCCGGACCCTTTTTAACAAGACATGTCATATACCAAAATGTTCTCTAATGTTTGTAGTTTCCAAATCCGGCATAAATTGTGGCGAACAGAGAAATCCAAGATGGTGTCCAAGATGGCTGCCAAAAATTATGAAAATCACCACTTTGTCACTATAACTTAATTTCTAAATGAGGCCACATATGCCCCCATACTGGTGACAAATGCCATGCTCCACCAGCTTAATATTTATATGTTTTGGGCAGTTTGTATAATTCAAACAAACCAAAATGGAAGTGACGTAACGTCATTGAGCGATTCCCTTCGAGTCGTTGTATGTCGTACTGTAGCATTATTCCTGAGTACTTACTTCGTTAGGTCAATATATTCCTAACACATTTTTCACAGATTTTCGATTGTCTTTCTCTATTGTTCGTACAGTTTTCCAAGACAATAATCGAAAAGACCCTGATGGTGTCCCCGTCTGTGCTACCAGATCTTAGTATGATGTCCGTATTCTTGTCAGTTTATATATTGAATAGGCAGTTTATATTTTATATCCTAAACATTTATTATTACTACTATTATTATTATTATTATTATTATTATTATTATTATTATTATTATTATTATTATATCTATCAGTTATTGATTATTATAATATCTATCAGTTATTGATCAACTGCCATTAATATGGTCGATATTTTGAAAAATATAGCTAATTTACCTCAATTTTACAGCAACAAAAATGTAACTTTTACACATAATGGGTGCCCTTACGAAAAAAAATTATTTTGATGTATACATCCTTTTAACTGCAAATATTTCTCGTTAAACAACTTTTTAGCATGACATCTATTTTCAATAATTGGAAGGCGAGGTGATTTTATTCTTGTTGATTTTTCCTGTACTTTATTGATACAAACATAAGCAATCATAAACATAAAGTTAAATTATATTAAAATAAATTTACGTTTTCAGTTACTATTTTTCTGCAGGTGAAGAAATCGTGTCTAAGAACAACCGCCTAGCGGGAGTTACGCTCGAAATTTTCTTAGTTTTCGGAGGATGAATATTGTACAACAAAACAATAACCACTAAATATTGTTACGGACGGGAACGGGAATGGAAAACATGTAGCAATAGCTTGATTTTTTTCTACGCGAAAAGTCAATCTGTCAACACAGTACAGTCAAACTGTTAAATAAGGACCATCCAAAGGGAGAAAATGCATGATCCTTACAGACAAAAGGTCTGTTTCGGAATGTACTTTTTACAATGAAAAAATAATGGGAAAAGGTGGTCTTTATTTACAGGATGGTCTTAAATCGGAGTTTGTCTCTAACAAAGGTTTGACTGTGTATCAATTATGGAAAGTCACATGCATAGCGTATTTAAGCAAAATCTTACTTGTTTTCCTCCGGTTATAACGTCTCCTCTCTAAAAACCTCTGAAAAATGTTTGCTTTCTTCTGTCTGTCCTGCCTTGTTTCATCTGAAGAATAATTGAAACATTAACAATTTAATCAAATCAGTTATAAGAATTATGATACCTACTTTCCAAGACCATTGTAATTGAATCTGCACTGTATAATATAAGTAGCTATACTCATTTCCCAAATTGACAATTTAGTAAGTCAACACATTGATTAGTTGGCGTAGTTTAGATAGGTAGGTATAGGTAGGTATAGGTAGGAAGGTAGGTGGGTCGGTGGTTTGGTGGGATGAGGTTGGGTGTTTTCACGTGAAATGAAACCTTCAAAGCTGTTCTCATTTCCCAAATTGGCAATTTATTAAGTCAACACATTGATTAGTTGGCGAACTGCACTACGCAGTTTAGGTAGGTAGATATAGGTAGGTATAGTTAGGTAGGTAGGTGGGTTTTGGTGGGTTGGTGGGGTGGGGTCAATGATGATCATGGATGATTGTGATAATGTCAAAGATAATGGTGATGATGACGATGATGATGTTGATGATGACTAGATAAAGGCCATTACAGGGCCTGCACTGACCAGAATTTTTGTGCAACCAAATTTACTTCATTTATTGTTAGTTTGCACCATATACTGTGAGAACAAAAGTGGTTGCAAATTAGCAAAATTCTGTTAGCAACTTGAAAACAGTGTTGTCAATGAGCAACATTTCAGCTTAAGACAGAGTGAGCCCTGTATTGTTAAGAAAATGATGTTTAGTTTCAGAACAGTTTTCGTACATTAACATAAGTATTTATCAGGAGTGAATACACCGAAAGCTACTAGCACGATGACGTGTAGCTTATCATAATGATGATAGCATGAGCTCACAGTAGTCTTTTTTTTGGAGTAATTCACTTTTACAGGAGAGTAATATTTATAAAAAAACAACTAACATTTAGCGTTTACATTGCGACATCAAACGGTCCTGCATTTTTGTGTGTAACATTCAGCGCTGAAAGTCAATATTTACCATCAAGGCGATTGTGACATTTAAGCTATCCTTGTGACATTTAGAGTGTGCGATATTTTACGTTGATAGATCACATAACAAAGTTTGAAACAGACATCTTAGCTGTTATACTATTTTTGACAGTAAAGTGTATAATAAAACTAATTGCGATATTTAGCGTTGATTTTGCGACATTAAGGTAAGATCTCCCTATTACATTACCCCCGCCATGAAGAGTATTCAAATTGGCTAGAATTACTGTCAATTGCATTAAAACTGCGGGACATGAGTTTAAACCCCAGAAGGGGCATTTTTTTTCTTTATTTTTTTATTCTTTTAACATTATTCATGTATCTCTCAGATCTCCTTTGGGGAGGAAAATCGTTTGATTTTTATTATATTATTATTGCTAAATAATGTCAAATTTAATAGCAAATTCTAGGTATTTTTAGACTTTTTAAGTTTAAAGTGGGTGGGGCATGGAAACACTTTTATACATATTTCAAACATTTTGTGTACAAACAATCATTTTGCTTGTGTGATTTTTACCTGAATGCTTATATTTGTTTCTTTATAATGATCAATAGGAAAACATTTTTCATAATGATTGTATGTTATAGATTATTTTAGAGTTCCTCATTTCTGAAAACGAACCCTTCTAAAAGCAAAGTTTTAGTCATAACTCATAAACAGTAAACTTAAACTTTGCATAGTGGAATCCTTTAAGACATATAACTGTCCTATGTTGTCAATTTTACAGTTCCTTATAGTATCCATTAGATTATTATTATTTTCATTATTATCTTTATTTCCTCCATCACTGAAGAGCATTTACATTATATATATTACAGATAGTACAAAGGATCATATATACAAAGGATCATATATACAGTAAATATAAATACAAGATTGTTTTAGAATTATATAAATTAGTAAAGAAAGGCATAATTATAATATGCACAAACATACTAAAGGATAACTATTGCAATTTATCTGTGATATCTATCAACAAATGTCAATTGAATGAAAAAAAAATATATATATAAAGGGAATAAGCTACTTAGTTGCATAGATATCAGGTTCATATGTATATATCAAGAGCATCAGAACTGAGCTTGTTTAGTGTAACAAAATTGCTTAGGTGAAGGCAGAATAATCCAAATCAATTCAGTAGTTTAAAGTTACAATAATTTCAATTTTGAAATAGAAACTAGATAGACTGGCATCGCATAATATTCTATTGCGCCATTCGAATTCAACAGTTTTGTGAATGGCTGATTTGATCGTGTTTTTCCATGCGTATGAGGATTGTATAGTTCCAGTGTTCTTATAAATTTGTAAGAACGAAGTTAGTCCATACCGACCTAATATTTTTTATAAATCTGGGATAAATCCAGACACTTTTCTCGGTTCCAGCATGTTAGATGTAAGTCTATTTGAAAATACTTGTTTAATTTTAAATTTTGTATTCAAACGACACAGTAAACCGAAGAAGAGTTTCCTTTTGTCAATGATAACGCCTATCGGATATATGCCTAGGCTACTTAACATGAAGTCTGTTCTTGAATTTGTCGGAACGCTTTGTATATGTTTTATGCATTGACGGTGAGCTCGTTCAAGGGGAGCTAACTGTGCGTCCGTAATGTCCACAGTTCACTCCCATAAAGCGCTCGCAGTAAAGCTACTGATTCATATATTTTCTTTGAACCCATGTTTTTGTATTCCACAATCCGCACAGCTATAAAATGTTTTGCGGAGTTTAGTACAACTTTCCTCTATATTTTATGATAAGGATAAAGACTTATAACAAGGCACCCCAGGTGCAAATAAATGTCCGTTTCTTTGATTTCTCTGCTTCTAATTTTCCAATTTACGAGGAACATTAGATTTGTCATTGAAAACAACTACTTTACACTTATCTGGATTGTACAAAATTCGTTCGTTTTGAGCATTTGCATAAACATATGTCAAAAAAGTTTGTCAAGACCGTGTTTAAACATGTGATATGAGCACCATATCATCCGCCGACGTTGGACAACCACATCGTATATCATGAAGTTTGAAGCAATATTTTTCATTTACTTTCTATTTCATTCATCAGCTGATTAATGAATACGATATATAGGTAAGACTTAGGGCACTGCCCTTGTCTGGTACCTTGCAGAATCGGGAACCAGTCCGATGTATAGCCTTGTGATTTTAACACAGCTAAAGCATTCTGTGGAAAAAAATGAATAATATTGCCTTGAATATTTAATGTCAATTCCGGTATTGTATATTTGATTAATAGAACAGATGTCCATGTTCTGTCGAACGCTGGCTTGGCATCTAGGAAACACGTATATACCGGAGAATTATTTTCTTTTGCGTAGTTGATACATTCACGTAACATATACGTTGTCATCAGGCAGTTCACATTTTTTTTGAAATCCTTCCACTCTAATTTTCCGTCATCTTCAATTAACTGCATGAGTACTTTTTCATAAAGTTTAAGCACACAAGAACACAAAGATATTGCCGGTAAACTGTTAGGATCAGTTTTCTTTTTATTGCCTCCCTTAAAAAAAGTGTTGAAATAATCCCTTTTTTAAATCGGTCGGGGTGTTGAGATAAGGTTAACATTCCAATGAATAACTTGATTAATACACATCGAAGTAAGGACCCACCGTGAATAATGTTTTCATAATAAATTTTGTCTTTTTTCCAACACGCCTTACCATTTTTACATGATTTAAGTGCTTTCAAAAACATTTCTTCGTCGTCAATTATATGGTGTTTCCCTTTCCGCTGTGGTAATGCCTCTTTTTAATGCTTGAAGGTCATTCTCAATTTTAATCCTATACTCCGGATTGAATGATGCTTCTTCATTTGGTGAGTAAAGCTCACTAAAAAATGCTTCCAAGCGGAATTAATTTCTTTCGGGTCATTCAAGAACACAGCCATTAAAGTTCATTTCAGACCCGGAAGTGAATGGTTTCTTATTTCGTCGCTTATTAATTAATTTTTCCAAAATTCATTGTTATCGTATTTAGCAGCGGAGTCTATATCCTCCTCTTGCTTCTGTAGATCTCTGTGAAAACTCCTAAATGCTCGTTTTGTTCCTTTGTAGTTTTCGTGGTGTGGGCGTGCCTTTCAATTGATTTTCACTTGACCATGATTGTCTTTTTTTTTCTTCATTTCATTATGTAGTGTTGTCAGCGTTTCGTTCCAATACGGTTTAATGTAAGGCTTAAAGCGTACTTTTGGGATGTATAAGTCTGTCGCTAGGTTGACAATAAGAACGATAGCCGAGTATAAATTCGTCAATAACTGAAGTTTAAACTAATCTCGAGTCTTAATGCGCATTTTAGAACGTCACTATTGTCTAAGAATAATCTATAAGCACATAAATCTTCCTGTTTAACATTTCACCAGTTAATTATATTTTGTGTACCTTTTCTGAAAATTTCTTTCGCTACATGCACATGATAACAACATACAATAGGCCGGTGTGTGGAAACACTAAGAGCATCGTCATCTAAAATTTGACAATTTATTACATTTTGTACACAAGTATCCTGTGCAATTATATGATCAATGTGTGTCTGTCTATCACTATTGTACGGTACATTGCTGAACTTTGATCCTTTACATATAGGAAGAGTGTTTAATGATTTGAGATCAAATTTTGCCATGAGATTTGATAACAGTTTGCTTCGAGAATCAATATGGATAGGAGTTGAAATGCGACTGGATTCAAGTTCAGCATTGTAGTCGCCAATTATAAATAATGTACCTTTATTTTGATATGCACAAATGATATTTTCTAAATCTTCAATGTATTGCAAGCGTATTGTGTGATTTTTACATGGAAAGTACACTTGCACTATAAATATATAACATCCAGGAGACGTCATAATTTGAACACCAATGAAGTTTTCACAGTTCAGTTCAAGTTTCGTTATAGTTGGATTCAAACGTTTATGCCATAAGAGAGCAAGCCCTCCTTTACCTACTTTTCTCGTTGAACAAATATCTAGATCGGGGTGAGATATAGCGTAACTTATATATTCAGAGTTAATACTTTCTAAA